CTTGCCAAGATTTTTGTGCTTTTATGCTGAATGGGGAAAAAATAACAACAAACGTCTTCAGCAACAGGTGAGCTTAAATGCAGGTAAAAGCAGAAGTGTCATATTTAGTAATATTATAATCTAAGTAAATTGAATGAAGCACCTGAAAGTAACTCTTTGATGGGAGTTGCTTTGACTTTACTGCTATGTATAAAACCCCATATCTCCCATGTTTGTGTTTGTTTACCTCTGCCAACACCGCAGGAAACACTACGAATACACCGCTGAAATTACACGTGGGTCCGGCAGGGGGCAGTGTCAGACCAGAAGTCGATGTGCCGCTATGCCTTGTATGTTGTTGTTCCTCTTTCAGCTGCTCCTGTTAGGGGTCGCCACAGCGGATCATTGGTCTGCGTATTTGATCTGGCGCAGTTTTTACACCAGATGCCCTTCCTGATGCAACCCTCCCCAACTTTATCCGAGCTTGGGACCGACTCTGAGAGCCTATCCCGTCAACACTAGACCCAAGGCAGAAATACACCCTGGATGGGAGGTTAGTCCACCACAGGGAACTGTGCACACACACCTTCACACAGTCACTCACCTACCTACCAGCATGTTTCTAAAAGGAGACCATAACATCTGAAAGCACTGAACATTACCCCTCAGCACAGCGTCTATTCTCTCAGGAGGAAGCAACGCAAAAAAGAGGGGGGAGTCTCTTTTATCCATTTATTAAGAATATTTCCTTGTCACAAGCAGTAATTTATCAAACAGTTTGTAACCTGAAGAATCCAGCGTCAGTGTTACCGCTTGCTTTTTGGAAGGAAGGCCCAGAAGAAAGAGACCAGGCTCCTTTTTCAGCTTTACCTGAAGAATGTCACAAGCAGTAAATCTCCAAAAACCTGGAGATGTTTTTGCACTTCCAGAAACAGTGAAAGTAAGTTCCTAAGCCTGCATGGCATTTGACGCAGACAGCCGATATCCTACAATCGATTTTATTCATTATAACTGGAGCTATATGTAACTCGTAACTGTGTAGTATCTTGTATTGAGTCTCTCTAAGTTGGATACATATAAAAGTGGACCTCACACATTCAGCGGCCCTTGCCAGTCATCATCTATATATTCTTTACCCACATTTTCCTCCCATTTGCAAGCTACCGTATTCAAAAGCCCTGGGATATGGGAGTATAAATAAGAATAAAACCTAGATATAAAATGAGCAGCATTACATGTATTGATAAACAAACCCTCTAAGTCGCCGGGTAGAGGCATATCCGATGGAGATCTCCGCTTTGAAATGATACAATGCTGAATTTGTATATAGCCAATGTAATGTTCCTCAGGGAGATCAAACCTCTGTAGTAATTGCTGAAAGGACATTAGGAAACCGTCCTGGAACAACGGTCCCCCACCTCCCCTTTATGTGCCATGCTTTGAAGCGTGGCGAACCAATACCAGGGGGAAAATCTTCATTCAAATAAACTGGGCTCAACATAGGCATAAATTCTCCTCTCCCCATGTACTTTGAGATCTGCCGCCATACTCTAATAGAATTGACACACATTTCTGATATACGGACAATATCCACTCCATAAACGCCCTTCTCTTCTCCCAATCTTTGAAATATTTCTTACAGTAGACTGGTTCTTTACATCATAGACGCACTTTCTGAACCTTATTAGATTTGATTCCAATTATTTGCTATATAATACAATCTTGATGGCCGGGGGGGTAACTTTAAACTAGCCAATCTGGCAACCCCAGACCTGCCTCGTCCTCTGCTCCTCTCTTGAGCATGGGGCAGTATGATTCCTACCCCAACAGGCCTCTTTTAGTGCTTGTTGTAGTTCACATATTTGACCACTTTGTGCAATAATAACTCTATGGAGCTAAATGTGGCACTGATATCAAATAGCAACATTTTGTTAAAATCGTTGGTCACTCAAAAGAGATCATTAGTAGTATTTCAACGGAATTTAAAATGTATGGAGTTGTGAATGAGAACTTTATGAATATTGACATTTGCTGAATGGCTGATATACGGTATGTGATGCCCACCCTGCCCCAATGGATGAGCCTCCACTGAAAATTACATCATTCATTCATTAATTCTTCTTCAGAAAGCTTTTTATGCTGGTCAAGGTTGGGGTGGATCCAGAGCGTATCCCAGGGACGCTGGGATATCCCTTCCTCTGTGACACCCCTGACTGTAGCTCAATGGCAACTGAGTGATCCTGTAAGGTTTTTTTTTTTTAACTGATGTTAACTGAGTTGACTTTAATTTCAAGTGGTTTTATTAAGTTAAGCATACACCTAAAGCAAACCTTGGCCTTGATACACGTCCATTTCAGGCAGTGTATCTGTCTACCAAGCAACACAGAATGATGTGGTTTCCATTCCACAAACACACACACACACACACACACAGAGATAGAGACACTGGTATGGCTTTATGGCTGAACCAAAAATAGCCTTGCTTTTAACCTCAATGGGGATGCCACTGTCTTTTCCAGCTGGTCTTGTCAGTCAAATTTCAAAACAAGATGGCAGACAGAGGGAACTGGGTTTTAACATTCTCAGGCAAGTATTTGGACTTTTCTTTTGTTGTGCCATATGACTTTGCTTATGACAAAATATTTGATTTAGCCATATTCATGAGCCCATGCAATACATAGACGAGCTTTTGACTGACCAGTGAAAACCTCCTGAATGAACTTTATCATGACGTCAGTGCCTGACCTATATAGCTGTACTAAACCCATATTACTGTGTCCTATTCTATGTGTACACCTGTGTATGTGGGGGAAAAAACACCATATATACATGTATGTAATAATTACTGTGACTTTATTGAGGCACGTTCCATGAAAGTCAAGACTTATGTATTTCCTTTAATTTTCCACATGATGTTTGTGTAAAGTATTAAACTGTGTGTTAAACTGAAGGCAGTGGAAGCACAGAAGATAGGGGTAACTCAGTTCAGTGCTGGTGACCAGAAAGCTGAGAGTGTAGTTACCAGGACTGCCAGGGAGCCTTTGTTGCCTTCCATCTACCATCCCGTGCTTGTATAAGATTCTGCCTCACTCTGAAAGATCCTGTCAGATGAATGGATGTACATGAAACAGCATTTCTCTCTCCTCAGTGTGTATAGGCTGCTTGCTGGTGGCCAGAGCAGACATCATAACGCACACTCCTGTGGGCCAGCTGTTTGTGCACGAGCTAAAGAGAGAAGTCTACCAGAATGAATTTGAGCCATTCCTCAAACACTATGGTAAGCCGTATTAGAATATTAAATGGAATTTCCTTAATAAGCAGAACGTTATTCAATTGACTCAGTATGCCAGTTTGAAGTGATGACTATTTCCACATTTATATTTCATGCCCTCTTC